ACTTTCAGGTTTCTGAAAGTCCTGATTTGAATCGACAGTATTTTAAAATTTACATAAGTAATAATTTTGGGATCCCCTTCAGTGCTGCTAACTATATAGACAAGTTGTAGAAGGCTTCTCAGTAAATAGGGGGGTTCAGTTTGGCTTGGTTCTCACTCACCTTTTTTCTGTGTCTGTGAGAACGTGAGAGTAGGTGTAAAAAATATGTTTCTGGCCACAGCCTAGAAGTTAGTAGGTTGAATGTTGCCTAGTTAACCGGAATAACTCTGGGATTTAAAATTTATCCTAAGAATTAGCTTTTCGTTGTGCTAATTTGAAAGAAAATAATTGTTCTCTCAATTGAAAAAGAAATCTGCTTTTCTTACAAAATGAAATAACTTATTACTTATATTTAAGCCTTGAGTCCTCAGCATGGTTTCCAGAAAAATGTCAGAGCAGAGCATTATAGTAGACCTTCATTTCCTTAAAATGATTTAATTGAATGATGGTTAGTCCCTTTGTTTCCAACCCTGCTAAAAATAGTTATGTTTGTATAAGCTCCTTGCCTATGAGGTTGTGTGGAGTCCATGCTTTGGAACCACTGAGACAGGAAGTCCTAAAAGCACTTACTGTGTGACCAAGGATCTCGGGTTTTTCATTTGGAAAGTGAGAATAATAATGTTTACCTTGAGGGAGGATTGAAGGAAAACAGTCTCTGTACAGACCCTAGTGTACTACTTGTCAAATTGAAGACATTCAGCAAACAACTCCATCCATCTTCCCGTGAGTGGAGCATGTTGAATGATGCCATTCAGCATATGGTGATGGAGAGCCTAGAGTGCCTTGGAAATTTCTGTTATAAAGTTTATTACATCATTTGTAGCTGTAGAAGGTGTAAAACACTGTCCTGAATATAAGTAACTCCAGAACTTACCCAGACCTTCCCGTCACTTGTAAGCTGACGATAGCAGTTTTTCCCAAAAGTTGGGCCTTTGTTATAATCCCTGCCTGAAGCATCCCTCTTTCTTGTTCATCGTTGACTCACCAAGTGCTTGTCATCTTCCCGCCCAGGGCTCGGTCCTCTTCTCTGAGCCGAGGATGCGTGGCGACCAGTGCTGCCCGCGGGGCTCCTGTTCTCGTGAGCGTGACAGGACTGTGAGTGGTGATTAACGCTGTGAAGAAGAATAAAGCAGTTACGTGTCCTGGGAAACCTTAGGGTTAGAGATGCTGGGGGCCCCCTCGAGTGAGCAGGTCAGGCTGGCGGCTGCCGAGGCTCCCCGGGTGGGGAGGAGTAGGGGTGCTCACCGTGCCCGTGAGTTTGTGTGATGCAGACGGAGCGGGGAGACCGCCAGGCGGCACTGGCACTCTGATCACAGACGTCCTTTACTGTGTCTTCTCAGGCCATCTCCTAGGAAGTCCTAAATGGAGAGGCTTTTTGTGATAACCTGTACCTGTATTTCTGAACTGCAGATGGGAATCACGCTTACTTTAAAACGTAAACTTGTTTTGAAAGGAAAATAAAAGTTTATAACTTTGTTTTTCAGGGTGTTCCTCTGACCTGATATTGTCAGACATAAATTATCACCAGTCTCTTAACTCAGAATAGCAGCAAAGAGAATTTTTGTTTGGGGTGTTTATTGACTAAATGTTTCTATTCTTATTTCCCAGTTTAAAAATCATCAGATCACCACAGCGTTACATATTTATCACCCAAATACATACACACAGTGTATACCTTAAAAATAGGCAAATACCCTACTTTTGGTGCAAGCTCTTCTTTTTAAATAAAAGTTTACTATCTAGATCATCTACTTTTTTTTTTTTTTTGGCCGCTCCTCGTGGCTTGTGGGATATTAGTTCCCCAACTGGAGATTGAACCCAGGCCCCCCGGCCGTGGAAGCACAGAGTCCTAACCACTGGTGGCGAGGGAATTCCCTTTTTTCTCTCTCTCTTTTTCTTTTTCTTTTTTTGTTTTCTATTTTAAGATCATCTACGTTTTTAGCTCTGGATTGCTAAAGAAAATATCTGCAACGATATTCACCATGTTGTCCACCGTATATATGGACATCATTCCTTTTAGACCACATGTACCAGCTGATTACCGATTTGTACAGCATGACAGTATGTTTTTTGCTGCACCCAGTATCAGTGCTGAACTGAAGGCTGGCCTTTTTTAGTATCACAGTGGCATTTAGTAAATACGTATGAACTAATTGACAGTGGCTATAACCTAGTATCCTGATACTGTAATCTCTTTTTTAATAGCACATTCAGAACTACGTAGCTTTTAGAAGCCTGATCTACCATTGATTGTTTTATTCAGTAAATATCTCAGTGCCATCTATATGCATAGGAAATTTTGGCTTGGTAAACAAAAACAGACTCACCCAAGTCTAAGCCACTGGTTTCTCTAAACCGTACATAATAGCCAGTTCATTTATCCACATTCGTGAAAAAGGTAGATGGTGGAGAATCAGTCAGTAGACTGTTAGGTAGCTGAGCTACCCCACATGTGGAGAATTTAGTGACCCAGTGCCACCTGCATCTATAGCACAGCCTCTGGTGGGACCTGGGGGCTAGTGTGAAGTCTCAGCCCATATAAAGAGATGTTTTTAAGAACAGTGAGACTTAACATTTGAATAGTGAATTTATGAATCTTATACTAACATAATTTTAATATGATTTTAAGTAAATTAATAAGTAAATTAATAAGTGATGGACTACTGGCTTTTAAAGATAGGAATATGTGGTGTCACATATCCTTAAAATTTTCAACTTTTTAGTATAGAAAATTTCAAGCATATACAAAACTAGAGAGTGTTCACATAGCTTTTCAAGATAAGAACTTTGAAAAATTGTGTGCTGAGAATAGGCCATCTCTGCCTGGCTGGGGTACCTGCTCACACCTTTTGGATAAAAGATGTAATGGAGAAGTTTCAGGAAGCACAAGAAGCAGTCTGACTTTATGTGGATCCTGGTCCTGCAGAATGGCCTGCCTTTCCATAGTGCGTCTGTTTTCATTTGGGGAACAGTCTTCCATCAGGTTGGAATAACTCCCAGCAGGATCCCATTTCAGGCAATTATAGCCGACATTATAGAGTCACAGAGTCACAGAACATTATGGGGGCACCCACCTGGTTCAGCCATCCTCAGCCCTGGCTGGACAACATCACTGGAAGAGCGCTTTTATTCCCAGTGCTCAGCGTTCTCACTGCCAGGTGCTGTTCCGGGTGCTCATCCAGGTCTGCCTTCTCTGTATTCTGAAACTTCTCATTTAATATGCTCATGTCTGGGGCTTCCCTGGTGGCGCAGTGGTTGGGAGTCCGCCTGCCGATGCAGGGGACACGAGTTCGTGCCCTGGTCCGGGAAGATCCCACATGCCGCGGAGCGGCTGGGCCCGTGAGCCATGGCCGCTGAGCCTGCGCGTCCGGAGCCTGTGCTCCGCGACGGGAGAGGCCACAACAGTGAGAGGCCCGCGTACTGCAAAAAAACCCCAAAAACAAAACAAAATTAAAAAATGCTCATGTCTGGGTTCCAGCTCCAGAGGGTCTAATTGGATGGTTCTGGGTCAAAGTCCAGGAACACTAACACACGAGAGCTCCCCGGGTGACTAACGTGCAGGTCGAATACCCCTGACTAGTCTCACACTAAGCATGATGTGAGCTGTCGATTTTTGGTAGATTTCCTTTGTCAGGTTGATTTTTCCCTTCTGTTCCTAGTTCACTGAAAATTTTTATTATGAGTGCTTTTCCTGTATCAGTGCAGGTGGTCATGTGGTCTTTTCCTCTACTGACGTGGTCTCATAACTGATTTTTGAGTTAAACCAACCTTGCATTCCTGGGGTAAATCTTACTTGGTTATGGTGTATGATTCTTTTTCTGCGTTGCTGAATTTAGTTTGCTAGTGTTTTGGTGAGAATTTTTTTCATGTGTATGTATGAGGGATATTCTTTTGTGGCTTTTGTTTCTTTTGATGTCTTTGTCTGACTTTTGTAAAAGGGTAATACAAGTCTGAGAGAATGAGTGGGGAAGTTGTCCCTCCGCTTTTGTTTTCTGAACCAGATTGTGTAAGATTGGGAGTCTGTCTTTCTTAAACAGTTGATAGAATTCACCAGAGGATCCGTTTGGGCCTGGGCTTTTCATTTCTTCGCCTGGTCTCCCGGGAGGCAGCCCTGTCGCTGCCCAGCTTAGTGCTCAGCCAGCGCTCAGGGATCGGTGGTGCTCGGCGCCCCGTCCTGCCCTTGGCCGGCGAGCTGTGAGTGCGTTGCCCCCTCAGACCCCTCCTCAGCTCTTCTTCCTGCTGTCTCCCCGCGGTTCCCTGTCCGCCATGTGGGGAGGACCTGTCTGGGCCTCCAGTAACTCTTTCATTTCTAGAATTTCCTCATTCAGTTTCTCAGACTCCTGGCTGGTCTGCTCTTGTTCCAAACAGGACTGAGGCCGGAGGCCAGCCTACGTGTGGGTACTTGTGACTCAGAGGAGGAGGGGCGACCAGGGTGCTGCTCAGCCTGCGGGCACTCTGGGGAGCCCAGTGTTCAGGGTTGTATCTGCAGGGAGGAAGGCACTGGAGTGCGCCCGGGATTCACAACCAGCGCCGGGGGACAGCGGGGCGAGTCAGGGTGATGACCCGCTTTCATTAGGTTTGAGTGGGAGTTAAAAGTTTAAAACCACTGCCTATACAAACTGTCAGATTTTCACAAGAATGCTCATGAAAATGGAAAAGCCATGTCGAGTATGAAGTATTTTTAAAGTCAAGCACTATTTCACTGAACTCAACAGCACTTACTTTAGTAATTACAGACCTCTTGAGTGGATAAAGTAATTAAAGATCTTAGTTTTAAATTTGAAAAATACTATTAAAACCCAAACACCCGTCAAATAAGAAATTTCCTTAGTGGCCCTAGTGAAATGGCAGGCTTGATGGTTTTGCTTCTCAGTTGAACACTGATCGAGATGGACCCCGATGCTGGGGAGGGATGCCTGCTCGTGCGGAGACTGACCAGCGTGCTGCCTTGGTTTCAGCAGGGAGGAGAGAGCGATGGCTTTTTTCACCTGGAGGGCCAGCCTCAGCGGCTCCCTCAGCCCCCAGAAGTGAGACAGCAGCCTGCCCGCAAGGTGACGCTGACCAAGGGGGCGCTTCAGCAGCCCCAGCACCCTCCGGTGGGGGCCCACGTGCACTCAGCCGGCCCTCCAGGCATCAAGAGCATCCAAGGAATTCACCCGGCCAAGAAGGTACTGCCTGTTACTGCCCCCGCCCCAGGAGCGTGGCGCCGGAGCCCTGTGAACCCACTGATGGGAGTGCCTGGCACAGCAGGAGTGCTCAGATTGTGGATGAACGAACCATAGTTTCCTTTGCCCTGGCTTTGAAAGCTAACGTGTTCACAAAGGCGCTTTCCTGTTGTGACTTTTTTAGTGGTATGATGCTGGGAAATCACCCTAAACCCAGGCTGTGGGTATTTCGGGCAGCTCTGAGCTGTGCTCTGGGGACAGCCCTGCACAGAGCCCAGCCCGGCGCTCCTTCCTCCCCTGCCAGCTGCTCCTCCAGAGACTGCTTCCTCCTCGTCACCCCAGTTCACAGATGGGAAGCCTTTGGGGGTGAGGTACCTTGCCTGAGAAAGTGCCTCTCCCCCTGGCTCTTCCCTCCTCCCTCCCTCGCTGTGGGGGTCGAGGGGGTGTTTTCCTTCTCCGAGCTCAGTGTGGGAGACGAGGTGTGGGCATCCAGTACCCCTTGTGAATTTAACCTTCCCGAGGAGAGGAGTGTCCCCCTTGTCCTGTCATGTCCTGGTGGGGACCCCCCCGCAGCTTCTGGTGAGGGTGTCTTTGTAGCTTTCCCAAGGCCCCCCCCTCTCTGCCCGACAGCAAGGTCCCCTCTTGGCGCAGAAGCCAGATGCCCCTTGCCTGATGACCTTAGGGTGGAAGAGGGGCAGCAATACCTGCTCTGAGTTTCTTCTAGAAAGCTCTGAACTCTGCCAGTTCATCCTCTCTGCTTGCCTTGCAGGTGATATTAAGGAGTAGTGTTAGCCTGAAGACCGTTCTAGCTCTTTGAAGTAATTCAGTTACTCCGGATTTATTTTCTCATAAATACCTTATGATACAGGGACAGAGTAGTGACATTTTTGCTACAGGTGACACAGGCACAGACACATTAAGTCGTATCTTCAGATATACTCTTTAAAAATTGCTCCAGTCTGAATTTTCTTCGCTCAGGTGTTGTCCCTGGGTATGCTGTGAGAAAGCTCGTAGAACACCCCCCAGCCCCCCCCCCCAATAGTCTTTGTTACACATAGAAAAAAACCTCGTGTTT